ATATACAATTGTCATTTGGAGTATCGACAAATCCCACAATGCTGATAAGCAAATCAATGAAATTAAAGATACAATAAAAAATGTCCAGGCTGAAATGAATGACAGTGCGCAGACTCGGCAGAAGGAAGCCAGAGGTAAGGTCAAAATTTAAATGTAGAATTTAAGAGACTGGAGTCCACGAATAAAAGCCATTTAGATCAGCTGAATAGCAGAATGAATGCTATTAAATTAAAACTATTTGCTTGCACATCAATTGGATGTAGTTCTACCATGTTGCCCCCAAATGATGACATTAGTAGCAATCCAAGCCAATCTTCTTCTAAGCCTGCGAAGGTTAATTCTAATACCACAAATGAAAATATCAGGACCACACACATAGTACCGTTTAATTGCAATGAGTGTATGCATGCTAGTGTATCAGATTCAAGGAACTTGCCTGTAAGCAGTAATGCGAGTTCTCATGCTCCTGGCAGCTGTCTGAACCCAACTGAATTATCCTTGCCCTATTCTGACGACAACAGTAAGATTAAAACCATGTACCACCTCATACAGATGAATATTTTGCTTTGAAAGATGTGCCAAAAGACGTGTATCTCGCAAGTACTTTGCATACTATGTATAACTGACCCTACAGCCAAAGACTTTGTTCCAGCAGTGTTGCACATGTAGAATGATTACAGTCAGTTCAAATCAACATTCGCAAAGGTTTATTGGAATCAAGTCACTCAGAATAATGTAAGAAAGTCAAGCTACCAAGTTAAGTACAATAAGCAAAGTGGGTTAACTTTATCAGGGCATTTTCTGAAATACTTCGTGGTTGCTTCTTATTTACAGCCAAGGATGCCAGATGTTGAATTGATTAATGCATTGATGAGCCATTGTGCCCTGCATATCCAATGAAGTTATTCTCCCATCCAAATAAATTCAATTGAAACTGCGATCAATTAGTGTCATAGGGGCTACACACCTTCAGTTTATCACGTGTGACGTCATGTCTGAGCGATAAACTGTGTCAACTGCGCAGTTTAGACCGATTTTCACGCAGATAAAAAATCTGCGCATTCTGACTCTCATTTGCAACGATAACCTGCGCACTTTATGCAGTTTATCGTACAGTTTGTTCAGTTGCCGTCCTGTTTCTGTACCTATACGATGACTACGGTCTCAAAAAAGGATTCGCTTTTAGCATTTATCAACGGCTACTGGTCCCTTCCCGAGCTCTGGGATACCATATGTGTATCTTATTCCAACCGTGTTAAGAAAGTGGCAGCCTACGATGTTTTAATTGAAAAACTGAAACCTCTCGAGCCTGATGCAACACGTGATAGTGTAGTAAAGAAAATAAATAACCTAAGATCCTTTTTTCGTAAGGAGTTGAAGAAAGTAAACGAATCAAAGAAATCAGGAGCTTCAGCTAATGATGTGTATGTTCCGAGTCTGTGGTATTTCGGGGAACTGATGTTTTTGGTGGACCAGGAAACTCCTGATGCCAGTAATTCAACCAATGAATTGGGCAATGACATCAATGAAAAATCGGTAAGTAAACGTGCAATAATTATTTTTTATTATTATTATTATTGTTAT